TGAGGGCCCAGGCTGTCTGCGGGTCCTGCTGGAGCTTCGCCACCACGGGCGCCATGGAGGGTGCCCTCTTCCTCAAGGTGACAGTGGGGCCGTGGCAGTGACCCTGACACCTGGAGGGTGCCTGTCCCCATCCTACAGCGTGTGTGTGTCCCCCAGACTGGTGTGCTGACCCCCCTGTCCCAACAAGTCCTCATCGACTGCTCCTGGGGTTTTGGGAACTACGCCTGTGACGGGGGCGAGGAGTGGCGAGCCTACGAGTGGATCAAGAAGCACGGCGGCATCGCCAGCACCGAGTCCTATGGCAGCTACAAGGGGCAGGTGAGAGGGGGCCCCATGTCCCTGCTGGGGTTCCCAAAGTCTCAGGGTGTGCTCCCCCCAGGGCTTTAAAGCCGTGCTGGGAGCTGGTCAGAGGTGCTGATGCATTTTGGAGGTGGGGATGTCCCCCTGTCCCCAGGGCACTGGGGCTCCCTGTGGTTCAAAGCCAAGCCCCAGGGCTCAGCCGGGCGGTTTCATCATCGCGTGCCTCAGTTTCTCCTCTTGCAAAACAGAGACCAGACTGCTCCACCCATGGGTGACGCCATGGGTCCCTCCGTGCCCTGGGGTGCAGGGATGGAGCAGAGCTGCCTGGGGACAGGGACGTGGCTCTGAGACGCAGGGAACAGCCCCCCCAGGGCTTTGGGTACAGAGCCAGGTCACCACGCAGCAACTGGAAAACAACCCCAGTGCAGTGGGCAGGGGAGGACAGCGGGGACAGAGCCAGGACACTGTCACAGCCCCAGTCCCAGGTCACTCCCTGCATCAGAGCAGAGCTGTATGGGGACAACCACGGTGGGCAGGGGGCCTGAGGGGCTCCTGATGCCACAGTGTCCCCCTCTCTGGGTGCTGCAGAACGGCTTTTTGCACTACAACCAGTCTGAGATGCTGGCCAAGATCACGGGCTATGTCAACGTCACCTCGGGGAACATCACGGCCGTCAAAGCCGCCATCTACAAGCACGGCCCCGTGGCCGTCAGCATCGACGCCTCGCACAGGACCTTCTCCTTCTACTCCAACGGTGTCTACTACGAGCCCAAGTGTGGTGAGATGGGGGGCACGGGGGGACCTGGGTGATTCTGGGATCCCCTCCTTATTCTTGAGCATTTTGGGTAAGGGTGGAGAAGGGAACTGGCCTCACAGCCCTCCCCAGTGCCACTGGTAGCCCCAGGACCAGGGGTGCTCTGTGGACCTGAGGATGCTCTCTGGACCCAGGGATGCTCTTAGGATGGGGATGCTCTCCAGAGGAGCCATCTCCCGTGTCATCCCCTGCAGGTAACAAATCGGGGACGCTGGACCACGCGGTGTTGGCCGTGGGCTACGGGGTCCTGCAGGGAGAGACCTATTGGCTCATCAAGAACTCCTGGTCCACCTACT